TCTATTCTATTCTATTCTATTCTATTCTATTCTATTCTATTCTATTCTATTCTATTCTATTCTATTCTATTGTAATCTAATGTTATCTAATCTATTCTATGCTAAGCTCTTTCGATCGGTGTCATTTTCCACAGACAATACGAGCTGAAATGGAATATTTTCTGTAAATGCAGCCGCTCAGTTCAAATGTTCCTTTCTGTATAGATTAAGCCTGTTGCACAAATGTCGTCTTTTCCTTTTGCAAGGCTGACATTCGTCAGAAATGGTGTAGTAGCGTCTCCTGCTTGGGTGGGGGGTGGGGCGGGGGTGGGGGGTGGGGGTTGGACTAGATGACCTCCAAGGTCCCTTCCAACTCTATTAATCTAATCTAATTTAAAGCCATGATTCGGGGGTGACATGCATATAGAATGAAACCAACCACTCGTGTCATTATATCATGGCTAAGTAAAAAATAAAAATAAAAATGTACAGAACGAAACCACAACAATTGCGTTAACCTCACGGCTAAGCAAAGCTGGATTGTCGATGTTGTGTAAAGCACAGCCACTAAAGTTTCTTTTTCCTCCTTGCTTGTTGGCATGCCGTCAAGGAAAACCCTCCTCTTACGACGGCAACTGGGAGGAGAATTTCCATCGCTAAACAAGACGGTTCTTTAAGCGAGCCAACCTTTTGTTCTGACTCCCATCTCCCCAAACACGACAAACCCTCTGATGTGAACTCAAAAAGATTCCTTTATTCGGAGCCCCCGGCAGCCCCGGCAAAAGAATTTCTCTCTCACTGCCGGGTAACAAGCCCGTCTGTCCGGGAGATGCCTAGTTATCTGCCCCATCTATTCATCTCCGCCCCCTGCTTTTGAACCCCAGAGCCAAGGTGGGGCTTTGGCTAGCAAGGGTGGCTCTTCTGCCCCGAGGACCGGCCCATAGATGTCCACTGCTCTCCTCTCCTCTGCCTTCTGTGAATAGGGCCCTGGGCCCGGCTGTTCCTCCTCTTCCTCATCAGCCCCCCTCCAGACCTGGGGGCTGTGGACTCTCCATCGGAGGGCTGACGGACGGCCCAGGCTCCGCCTCTCCGTCTCTCTCTCTCTCTGCCAGCTCCATCCCCCTTTCCCCCCTCGGAGTCTCAGGCTGCCCTGATGCTGATTCCCATGCCGCCGCCTCCTCCTCCTCTTCCTCTTACTCCTCCTTTTCTTCTTCCTCCTCCTCCTCCTCTTC